GGGGGGACCTGGCACAGGTTAAATCCTGCCGTGTGCCCCTACCTGTGCCAGGTCCCCCATGTAGTAGGGGCATGTCGCCTAAACAGCGAGCAGCCAGTGTCTGTTTGCTGTCATTTAAAACTAAATATAAAAATCAGTATCTTATATAGAAGTGATAGAGAGTTACGTTAAGAGTAAATGTAACCAAAAGTTATAGCAAAAACGATAACAATGTTGCAATATGAAAAAGTAGCTATTTAGATCTTTTTACATGTACTCTTACTGTAGCTCTAACACTTCTATATAGGATACATTTATATCCAGTTTTAAATGACAGTGAGCAGCCAGTATGGAGTCACTATGACCCCCATATTGATAAAAGGTAGATTAATTCCTTCCGCGTGCCCCTACTCACGGCATGCATCAAAGTGACCCCCATACTGATTTATACTTAGTTTGAAATGACAGCGAGCTGCCATTGGCTGCTCGCTGTGTAGGGGCATGCTGGAGGATTTAACCTCTTTTAGGTTTTAATGTGGTAGGAATTATATTATTACAAGGGAGGAGCTGGTAAGCGCTGCCAGCTCCCTCATTTTTAGTCGCGCATACACCTGTTGGTAATTCCTGCAGCTTTTAGAGTCCTATTAAATGAACAAAACAAAACTAAAGGCATTTGCCCTTTAAGGTTTGGAGTTTATATTATATTTTGTTTGTAGGGATTTTGGTTTTACGATATAGGTAAACAAATATGAAAAAACTAATTTTTCCTATGAGAAAACAAATGCACATGTCTGCAGTCTCATTATGAGCTAAAACTGATGAAACACTCTAGCATCAGAGAGAAAGGGAATTAGCAGCTAGCAAGATATAAATAGCATGTCATCCATCTATTCGAAACTAGATAGATGCGATATGCCAAACCGTTTCCAGCAAGATGGAAGAAACAGAAATCTCTGATTGCTGGCATATTATTGAAGATGCAGATCTTAAGAAAGAAAGTGGTTGGCTGTGTTATGAGCAGAAGACCTTTGCTAGGTGAATCAAATTTTCTTACTTTTGACAATATGCATTATTCTTGATAATGAAGTAGATCTGACCATTGCTGTCATTGATTGTTATCTGGGGAAAGCAGACAATTTTGCTTTTTTTCTAGATATAGAAGTAACTTCAATGTCTAGTTTCATTCAAACAGTTCAACTTTACAATATAAAAAAAGTCAAAAAATTATACATTTCTCAAGGGTTAGTCTCAGATTTTATGTCAAGACACGGAGGCTCATATTGTTTAACCCTTTCTTTACTGCCCACCAATAGCAGGAAAGAATACAACAGTAATAAAAAATGGTAACCATAGTGATAGGCCACACCCATACCAAGTCCCAGTATAATAGTCAGCACATCCCCACACAATTTTCTCATACTATGCTACTATTCTCTTTTTGATTTCTGGTTATTTATATGAGTTATTTATTGTTATTTGAACTTCTATTACTCTTTTTGTTGATAATTCCTGTCTGCTTTCATTTATCTAGTTATTAAGGAATTTGTTCTGTTTTTTATTACATGCTTGTTTTATACTATATATTATGTTGGTTACCTTTGAGCACTGGGTTCCAGACCTTCCCTATGTTTTATTCTGTGTGTTATCCATGCTCACTTGCTTCTTCTGATTACTAACTTATCTCATTATATCTTTCCTCACTACCCTTTGGCTCCATTTTCTCCTTCTCTCCATTTATTTGGTGCCATTTTGCACCTGTTTTCCGTCCTGTTCGGCTGTTTTCGTGAAAGAATTCTAACCAATTCGGTAAATTCTTCATGAACACATGCCGTTCGCTTGTTTTTTCGAACACTTAGCTTCATTCGTCTGTTTTGCCGCGTTCGGCTATTTTTCATTCGAACGTTCAGTGCATTCGCCTGTTTCCTATTCATTACTTTCATCTATTTATCCCATTGAATTCACCTCTTTTTTGCTGAACGTTCGGCTCTTTAACTTGATGAATTGACTGTATTTTGCGAGATTGCCAGCGGCCATTTCCTGACTTCCTGTCTCTCTGACATTGTGCGTGTTCTCTTCCTATCTGCCGGTCTGGACCCTAGTGAGCTCCCTATCTATACCCTCTTAGGTTATACTAGTTTGGGGTGATTAACTCCTGCTAGTCTCCTCTGCTCTGATTTAGCTTTATACCATACTGGTTATATTGTTGTTAAAGTTTTGTTGGGGAATATCTAACAGCACTACCATGCCCAGATCTAAAGTGCCTGCCAGCCGCCTAGGGAGATGGACATGCCCGAGGTTTTAGATAACCCATCTTCTAATTCTTCTCCTTCTTCTGTTGGGGACCTTATGCCCCTGTCTGATGAGACCCAGTCCCTGGCGCTACAGCGCTCAGTTTCTGACACCATTATGGCTGCTATGGGCTCCATGTCCTCTGTCCTCTCCCAGACCATATCACAGGCCTTACTTGCACGCCCTTTGGCCGCAGAAGGTTCGGCCACGCCGACACGCTTAGCGCTACCGGCTACTGACCCTATAGGGGAGGCACCAAAAAAGGCTACTGCCAAATCCAGGCACTCAAATCTCCCTGCCTCCAGAACCAACACGACTGGTGTGACTATAGCCACCCATGACAGCGTGCCTATGTCACGCAAGAGAGCCTTTCCGCACCAGGCAGAACGGGCGCGGCAGTGTAAATGTGCTAGAGCACAAAAAGAGAGCGACTCCGACTCAGAAATTGGTTCTAGTGAGGATGCTGACGCTGAGTCTGTGGATGACTCTGATGACGAATTTTGTGGGCAGAAGTCTGACCTTTTTGGCCCTGCTCATTCTGCGGTGGTTTGCGAGTGGCCCCAGGAGCGACTTCCCCACTACTGCGGGCTCCACTGTCATGGATCCATCAGAGGTTGGTAGAATGGCTCCCAGTGGACCATGTGGCACGGTACCTTGAAAACTGGGTACGAAGGCCCCCTCAGTAAGGTGGCACGTAATAAACTTAGGGCGGAATGCCCAAGACCATTGGTACCTTGCAAAGTCTGTGAGACCCCTGTAGTGGACCCTAAGATGACCCAATTCCTCTCCAAAATGGGTTGGAATCCCCACAAGGGTCTAGATTCAGCACTTAAATCGTGCCAAGATAAACATCTTGATAAATTTGGCCCTTTGGCCAAATTGTTTGATCTGGCTGAAATCGCCAGAGCCGAGAACCGGCAAGTTGACCTGGAGGAACTCCGTGGTTGGGTGCAGAGGGCTATCTGCATTGCAGGCGGTGTAAACGCCTCCCTGTCCATTGAAAGGCGTAAAGCCATTCTGTTCAAGATTGAACCCAAACTGGCCAACCTCGCCCTCACAGAGGCAGGCAAGGATGCCCAAGGTATTTGGGGACTCCTTTATTAAGGACCTGGGGCGCTTTGTGGGTGCATTCACAGCCCTAGATAAGGCCCAATCCTCCATGAAGAGGGTGTTTCAGGGGCGGGTCTCTACCAGGGCCGGCAGATTCAGGTGTTGTCTGTCCGGCCGCTCCAATTACCATGCCCGTGGATCAGGACAAGGCTCCTACACTCAGAGAACACCCTACCAGGAGACGAGACAGCAGTCTCCTTTCTTCCCCTCTCTTGGAAGACCATGGCGTTCCAGAGGCTTCAGAGGGAACCCCGGTCTACCTCATGTTTCTTCCAATATGTGTGTAGGGAGCAGACTCCGTCATTTTTTCCTCACTTGGTCAACCATCACCTCAGATCTCTGGGTTCTGACCACAGTTCGGGGGTTTCACATCGAACTGGTGGACAATCCATGTCACGTTCCCCCACCTCGCCCTATTTTGCTTTCTACAACCGACCATGCCTTGATAGACACAGAACTAATGGCCCTCCATGCAAAAGGGATGATAGAGGTGGCCCCGGTGTCCTCCACAGAGGTGATCAGCAATATTTTCCTAGTGGAAAAGAAAGGTGGACAAATACGCCCTGTTATCAACCTCCGTGCCCTAAACACCTCAAAATGGAGGGCATCCACCTCCTGCGACACTTACTCCTTTAGTGAGACTGGATGGCAAAGTTAGACTTGAAGAATGCCTACCTGACGGTCCCAGTGGCCGAGTCTTCCAGGGACCTGTTACGTTTCCTCTGGAAAGGAGACACCTGGCGCTTCGCGTGCCTCCCCTTTGGACTGTCGTCAGCCCCTTGGTGCTTCACGAAACTGATGCACCCCGCCATGGCTTGGCTGCGCAGTCGGGGAGTCCGGCTAATCGTCTATTTGGACGACATCCTCATCATGGCACAGGATCGTTCAGTCCTTCGTAAACATCTTCAATTGACCTCCTCTCCCGTCTGGGTTTTCTCCTCAACTGGGAAAAATCCTGCCTGTCTCCTTCACATCGCATGGAGTTCCTAGGCTTCATGGTAGATTCCCAAGTGGAGTCACTGAGCCTCCCTGCCTCCAAGATATGGACAATCCGCAAGGAGCTGCGCCACGCTTTAACGCGCACCCAGCTATCTCTACGCCACCTGGCACGGATCATTGGCCTTCTGGCAGCATCAATCCAAGTGGTGTTCCCAACCCCACTCCATTAACGTGCCCTCCACTGCCTGAATATCGCACACCTTCGCGGGGGGCGTCCTATGCGGACATGATCTCCCTGGACTCAGAGACTCGAGACGAATTGACCTGGTGGATCCAGAACCTCTCGGCTTGGAATGGCAAGGCCATCTTCGGCTCCCAAGCAGAGTTCATGGTGGACTCAGATGCCAGTCTCCACGGCTGGGGTGCCCATTGCAACGGGGTGACTACCGGGGGTCGCTGGGCGGCAGACGAATCCCACCTCCACATCAATGCTCTGGAACTCCAAGCGGGTTCATTCACGATCCGGAGTTTTGCGAACGGGACTGCCAGCTCATGCATCCACCTGCGCATGGACAACATCTCAGCGGTCCACTATGTCAACCACATGGGTGGCACTCAATCTGCACTCCTGGCCCGCTTGGCGAAGGACTTCTGGGCTTATTGCTTGGACAGGAACCTGGTGGTCCAGGCAGAATACCTTCCCGGGCTCCACAACACTCACGCGGACTGGAGTTCACGCTATCTGTCGATTGGAGATTGGATGTGGGAGTATTCTCCGCTATATTGTCCATATGGGGTCCTTTTGCCATCGACCTCTTCGCGTCCAGGCTCAATACCCAACTACCCTGGTTCTACAGCTGGCACCCGGATCCAACCGTGGAGGCAGTGGACGCCTTCCTACAAGACTGGACTGGCTCACTCCTCTACGCCTTTCCCCTGTTTGCAATGATACCTCGGGTCCTGCTCCAAGTTCACCGCCAAATGGCCGACCTGATCCTACTAACCCCATTCTGGGGGACCCAATCCTGGTTCCCACAACTCCTGGAACTGGCGGTAGACGTGCCCAGGCTGCTGCCGTCTCTACCGAACCTCCTCCTGGACCCATCGGGCCTCCAGCATCCCCTCCTGGTGGACGGGTCATTACTACTGCTCGCGTGGAGGAATTTCGTGAGTCCCTGGGAAATCCAAGGGGTTTCGGACGCAACTCGACGCCTCCTGGCTGACGCATGGGCTCCCGGGACTAGACGAGCATATGGGAGCTTGGAGAGCTGGTGCCTGGCTCGGAACTTGGATCCCGTTTCAGCACCTGTGACTGCGATCCTCCTATTCCTGACTTCGTTGTTTGAAGCTAGTCGGGCATATCGCACGATTAATTCATACAGATCGGCCATCTCCTTGGTTCACCAAGGATTTGACGGCTGCCCAGCAGGCCAACATCCGTTAGTGTGCCGCTTACTTAGGGGCTCACGCCTGTCGCGCCCCCTAGACCTCGTTACTCATCTACATGGGATGTCTCCTGGGTTTTGTCGCTGTTCTCCTCCTGGCCGCCTAATGCAGAGCTCTCCCTGAGACAGCTGTTGGCCAAGCTGGTCTCCCTGTTCTGTCTCATTTCATGCAAACGGGTATCGGATGTTCGTGCCCTGGACTATGATGCTAGGTCTTTCACTCTGGACTGGGTGACGTTTAACATTTCCAGATGCAGCAAGACCGCTATTCGATCGGTTTCTTATCCAAGCTTCCCTGGTACTCCAGCCCTATGCCCGGTGGCCTACCTGCGGGAATATGAACTTCGAACGAGCGCACATCAAGCTACGTCATCTCCCCAGCAGTTTCCCTCGCTTCGTCGCCCCTTCTCCCCTGTGTCCAGTACTACATTGGCTCGCTGGGTGAAATGGGTGATGTCTCTGGCCAGCGTGGATACGTCCATCTTTGGTGCCCACTCAGCCCGAGGGGCATCGGCCACGTCCATGGTGAATTCAGGTGCACGTCTGGAAGACCTGATGAGAATGGCCGACTGGCTCCCGCGAATCCACTTTTCGTGAGTTTTACTTTTGACCTTTGCCTCACGTTTTTTCTCCAGTTATTGATCAGCTTTAAACTTGCAATATGAGCCTCCGTGTCTTGACATAAAATTACATGATTTTGCTATTTCATGATGAAAAGTCATGATTTTATGAAAAACACGGAGGCGAGTCATAGTTATTTTACTGATTTACCCCACCCGGTTGTTTATCCTCTCCAGGGTTGGTAGGTATTCATTATGCGCTCTGGGTTTTGTATGGTTTCAACCGTTTATTAGCCTGTTCATGTTACGTGATTATTCAAAATGCCTATGATGAATTATGCACACTGTGTTGCTTCTGTCTAGTTATAAAATTATGTCTTGGCATGCACACTTTGGTTTAGGTACTGATCTAACCATTCGGCTCCTGTCTTTTGTGTTTGTGGATTTTGGATTGCCTGTTCTATTTGGCTTGGACTGTTTCATCGTTCCTGTTTTGTTGTTATTGTCTCGCATCTCCAAAGAAAGAGGAAATGTGTGGGGATGTCCTGACTATTATACTGGGACTTGGTATGGGTGTGGCCTATCACTATGGTTACCATTTTTTCTTACTGTTGTATTCTTTGCTGCAATTGGTGGACAGTAAAGAAAGGGTTAAGCAATGCTCGCCTCCGTGTCTCTCATAAAATCATGACTTTTTGTCATGAAATAGCAAAATCATGTAATTATCTGAGACATATGCCCTTGGTATTTACATAGTGTCCCTTACCTTTTCTTCCCTGAGTAAATATGTTATTACATATTGAATATACGTTTAAAACTAATAAAACTATTGGGTTTATTAAGCAGGTATTAATTGTTGTTTACTTTTACATGGCATAGTTTCTCGTAAAGAATATTGCACACACCAATTATCCTGGGGTTACTTCCAGCAGGGTGCTCCAAACAGGGTGGACTAATGTCCCTTAAAAGATATAATTGTGAAAAAGTCGTCTGGGCACCTCTGGAGATTTTTTGATAGGCAGTCTTTATTTGGAGTGCAGATTAAAATACAACTTTTCAGCTCCCATGACTTGACAAACACTGCCAATCAAAGAAACCTCCAGCTGTGCCCAGACCACTTTTTCACAGTATAGTTTCTTGTGATACATTACATTTGCACAGTTTGAACTCAATTTAATACTCTTTCCAAATGATTCAATGCTGTTAGAAGAATTTTACAGATTATTTATCTACAGACGTCATCATTAAAGTCCACAGGTATTTTCTAAATAAATCATTTGGAATTGTTCTCTAACAGTATTAAATCATTTGCACTGCTTTTTAAATCAAACCCTTTATTGGCAAATATATTTAATGTATGATAAACATAAAGGGGCCGTAGTACTTTGCCCATTGCCTTACAGTCTAGTAAATACAGTACTTTTATACAAAGTTATTAGCAAGATAACTTGTGAGCTTACAATCTATAGAAAACAATGGGGAGCTGACATAAAAAGCTGCAGGGGTTGATTATTATTATTATTATTGATTACTGTTTCTTATTGATATATTCAAACACAGTGTAACTTGTAAGATAATTAAATAGCTAAGATTAGAGACAGCTGAATTACCATATTATAAAGGAAGGTGGGCCAAGAATGGGTGGTAGGAGGGTGGATAGTGATAGTAAAACAAAATTGGACATGGTTGCAGGGGGAAGCCCAAGTACAGGCATAATCTGTAGTTGGAAGAAATTAAAATAATTCAGAGATGCAATGTATATGCTTTTCTGTAGAGAGTCAGGGAGGAAAGAAGGTGGTGGTGGAGAAGAGTGTATATCAACTGGTGATATAATTAGTTTGCCAAAATGGTTAACTCTATCTCCCTAAATATAAATTATACACATTTAAACAACTGTAATAAATAGGTACAAGAGAAATAGTAAAAGCTGTAAAATACTGTAAGATAATTAGCTAAAAATGCACAAAACCAAATGGATTTCCAGTCTTGATTGAAGTGTACCTTAAATTACTGCTTAATATATTGCAAAATTTGGACGTGGTTGCAGAGAGAAGAGCGGGTGCAGGGGTATTCTGTAGATGGAAGGGAATTAAAAAAAAAATAAGGGTTATGGCAAAAGGCTCTTTTTCCCTATTTGAGATTGACATTTTAAATCAACTTGGAAAGATTAACATATTTATTTATTTTTGTCCAGCTTCACATGCTCAGGCTGTAATCATCATTGGAGCTCAGGAGTTGTTTGCATTATGTTCCTCATGCTGAAAAACAAAAAACAGAGATCTGGCACAGTAAAGATGAGGATCTTCAGACAGCAGTGTAGAAGATGCAGCTTTTCTTTGATGGAAAAACCAATAATAACTTCTGAAAACATAAGAAGAACTATTAGTAATCTGGTCATGAAGATTGAGAGAGCATTCTATCAGAAGAATAATGTGTGTGTAGAGTTTAAACCTGTATCCACTGGTAAATCAGATGGACCTCATGACAAGATGCGCTGTGAGGGATGTAAACTGGGTTTCTGTGAAGTGCAAAAATGTCCTACGGGTCATGAGAGAAAAACTGTGGAATGTCATACAACAGTAGGAATGTCATACAACACAGGAGAACACGAATATTTAAAAACCCCAAAAAGCACAATTCAAAGACATCAAATGAGTGAAAGAACGTGGGACTACGAAGAAGAACAAGAATGTATAAGAAATAATGAAGGCAAACATAGAGCTTCCAAGCGCAAAACTGTGAAAAAACAGCATACAATAGGAATGCCACACAACACAGGAGAGCAAGAATATTTCAACACCCCAAAAAGTCAGATTCAAATACATCAAATAAGTGCAAATACTTTGTGGAATCACAAAGAAGAACAAGAAAGGTTAAGAAGTCATGAAACAATAAATTTGAAACATAACACTAATAAAGGCAAACATGCAAATTCCAAGCGCAAAACTGTAAGAAAAAAAACTACAGTAGGAATGTCACACAACACAGGAGAGCAAGAATATTTCAACACCCCAAAAAGCCAGATTCAAATACAACAAATCAGTGCAAGTACTTTGTGGGACTACGAAGAAGAACAAGAATGGTTAAGAACTCATGAAACAATAAATTTGAGACATAACCGTGATAAAGGCAAAAATACCTTCAGTAAATTTCCACTTTCTGCTATCATTTTTGGAATTGGAATAGCTATATTCCTCTCACGGAAATATTTTCATTGATGAAAGTTTGACAGTACATGGTTAGAAACATAGAAACATAGAATGTGACGGCAGATAAGAACCATTCGGCCCATCTAGTCTGCCCAATTTTCTAAATACTTTCATTAGTCCCTAGTCTTATCTTATAGTTAGGATAGCCTTATGCCTATCCCACGTATGCTTAAACTCCTTTACTGTGTTAACCTCTACCACTTCAGCTGGAAGGCTATTCCATGCATCCACTACCCTCTCAGTAAAGTAATACTTCCTGATATTATTTTTAAACCTTTGTCCCTCTAATTGGTTGTTCCCAATATGACCATACTTGTGAAAAAAATGATTAAATTAAGGGAGGGAGAGTGCAACTGCGCACCCCAGGAAGCGGGGGGATTGACACTCTACTCTCTAAGCCTAACTCCTCACAACAAAGCTATTGTATATAGTTAACACCGCTTGCCACTTATACCAAAAATTTAGACGAAGACACCCACAGAAAACTTAATGTATATAATATGCCTAAACTGACAACTGTCAAATGCATGCACTGCGCTAATGTATGACACTGCGCTGTCTTTTTCGAAAATGTACATGCTTTCATGTTTATCATCTACTTCGTCAAACCAAAAATAAAGAATTAAAAAAAAAAAAAAAATGATTAAATTATTTTGGATTAGAACATGAGTGCATACAAATAAAAATAAAAACCTTAAATTAACCCCGCAAGGACCGGACTGTTTTTGCGATGTTGTACATTTGTGACCAGGCATCTTTTTACACTTTTGTGGTGTTTGTGTTTAGCTGTAATTTTCCGCTCTCTCATTTACTGTTCCCATACAAATTATATATATTTTTTTAGGATAAAAAAGGCTTTCTTTACATACCATTATTTATATAATCTCATGTAATTTAAAAAATAAAAATAAAAAAATATGATGAAAAATTTAAAAAAATACATGTTTTTTGACTTTTACTTGAAAAATCTTTTACTCGTCTACAAAAGCGAATGAAAAAAAACTGCTAAATAGATTCAAAGTTTTGTCCTGAGTTTTAAAATACCCAGAGTTTACATTTTTTTTGCTTTTTTTGCAAGTTATAGGGCTATAGGTACAAGTAGGAAATTGCGGTTTCAAAACATACATTTTTTCAAATTTATCAATAGTGACATTGTAACACTATTATCTGTCATAAATCTCTGAATAACACCCCACATGTACATTTTTTTTTAAAGTAGACAACCCAGTTTATTCAATATGGGGTATGTCCAGTCTTTTTTAGTAGCCACCAAGTCGCAAACACTTGCCAAAGTTAGCGTTCATATTTGTTTGTGTGTGATAAAAGTAAAAAACTAAATTGAATGCTAATTTTGGCCAGTGTTTGTAAATAAGTGTCTACTAAAAAAGACTGGACATACCCCATTTGCAATATTTACCTAGGCAGCCACTAGAGGACACTTCCGTGTTAAAATGCGAAAAAGTGTGTTATAACGTCGCTGGACGGTTTGTTTTCCTGGCACTGGAGAGTCCCTTAACCCCTTAAGGACTGTTTTTGCGATGTTGTACATTTGCGACCAGGCATATTTTTACACTTTTGTGGTGTTTGTGTTTGGCTGTAATTTTCCGCTTTCTCATTTACTGTTCCCATACAAATTATATATTGTTTTTTTCAGGACAAAAGGGGCTTTCTTTACATACCATTATTTATATAATCTCATGTATTTTAATTTAAAAA